GTTTAGGGTTTAGGAGTTCAGAGTTTAGAGGTTTGTGTTGAGGGTTTAGTGGCTTAGGGTTTAGGGGTTTATGGCTTTAGGGATTTGGGTTCAGGGTAAGCTGACGACACCAGCATGCACAAACGCAGTGGAGCGTAGTGCGGACTTCTGGCAGGAACCGGAGACCCTGTCTCAGACCTCGAGTTACTGTAGGGGACTTACTTATTAGAACACTCCATAGTATATTTACAATAAGGAACCCTAACAGTATTTTTGGTATGTATTTAATAGGCTTCGATATTACCCCGAGCGACCATGGTGACCAGGAGAAGAAAGCCAGATAGGGCGAAGCCCCCTAAACCCAAAACCCTAAATGGGGAGCTCTCTAAAATAGGGCACCCGCATATAGCACGGCACACCTATGAACAGGACCTTAAAAGGAAGCCCAGTTTTCAGAACTACCAAGATGTTACTAAACCCTATAATGCCTCCACTCACGGAAAGCTGCCAAGCTTGGGTATACTCTACTATATACTCATGCAATCAAGCCCTATAAACCTACAAGCAGCCCCATACACCCCAAACCCTACAGGACCCCTTACAACTCCTCTAAATCGCAAACCCTATAATCCCTATAAAACCCTTACAAACTCTGGCATCCCCGTCCGACCGACACCCTACACCCGAAGCCATGAACCTGAAACACTGTATGAGCTTCGACAACCCTACCCATAGGCTCTAAAGTAGTTCCTTTTGGGGGTTCACATATAGAATCCTATAAGGTATCCCCAAAGAGGAACAGAGGACTCCTTGAAGGTGACCCTCATTTAGAGAACTACCCGTTCAGGGCTTTGGGCTTAAGGATTGTAGGGGTTTTGTAGACGGTCTCGAAGGTACTTAAACCTGATGCGAGCCCGAATCTCTTCAACTCAAGCAACCCCCTCCACATAGATATATCGATATATTTAGATGTTTGTATGAACATATACATACACAGATATAGACATAGAGATAGCTGTGTGTATATATATATATATGCATCTACATCTTGTACCCCATAAACCAGTAAACCCTTCAACCAAGAAACCCAGGAAGCCATAAACTCTGAACTGCCTGAAGTTAAAATGAGCCTAGCCACCCACCAGTTGCTTTAACAAGCGTTTCGTCCCCTCACCTTTGTGCGGCGCTTGGGCTTCTTTTTGGTGGTTCAGGGGTTGGGGGCTTGAAGTGGAAATTTCGTGGACTGGAGTTTTAGGCTTCGCGCTTATAAAACCTTCCTTTTAACGGCTTCTCATTTCGATTTCCTTTTGCAGTGTCCTGCAAACGGCAGGCTATTTGGGGTCCAGGTACGGAGAATAGAGTTACAAGCGGGGCAGTGATAGCAACCTCTACTGTTGACGATATAAAACCTGCATTACCTTAAGGACCCTAAACACCATGGGAATTATGGTATATTCCTTATTTTGGGTACCCTACACCCTATACCATGAACCCTAAACACGGTATATTCCTTATTTATGGGTGATACAGGATTGCTATCATCAACCGTATGAGCCCTCAAGCAGGCTTCAAGGTTCAGCCTCGGCTGAGAAGCCTGTTTAGGTCGTCTGGAGTATAGGAGGGCTTGGTTCAGGCTTTCGGGCTTGGGGTCTAGGGATTAGGGTTTAGGGTTTGGGGTCGAGGGTCTGATTAGGGTCTGGGGATTAGGGTTTAGGGTTTGGGATCTGGGGATTAGGGTTTAGGGTTTGGGGTCTAGGGGTTTGGCTTTGCCAAAGGTTCAGAATTCCAGCGATTGAAGGTTAGATTCGGGCTTGACGGAAGTTGGGCTTGCATTCTGGCATGAACTTTACCCTAAACCCTAAACCCTAAACCCGGCTTTGCTCCGCGTCTCCTGAGATGTGGAGAGTTAACCCTAAACCCTATAAACCCTACACCCAAAGCCATAAACCCTAAACTCGAAACCCCAAGCCCTACTGCAGCGTAGGAGAGTTCTCGGGACTCCCTGGCACTGATCTTGCGGGCATCGAGGACACCTCCAAGCCTCAGCCTACAGAGTGGTCTTGAACCGCACCCAATCTGAGACGATCTGGGGTTTAGGGTTCAGGGTGTAGGGTTTAAGGTTTGGGGTTTAAGGTTATAGGGTTTAAGGTTTAGGGTTTGAACTTCTGCTTCGAGTCCATTTCTGCGACTTGTAGAAGTTCTGCGGGACTGGCTTGGAGCCTGTTGAAGGTGGCAGCCCGAAGGAAGCATGCGACTTTCTTCAGCCGCTCCTTTTCGTAGCCAGACCTTCTATTCACTCGGGCTTTGAGGTGTAGTTGCGTAATGTAGGGGCCTTAATAATTAGAATAGGTTTTTGGGCTATGAAATACTATACTTATAGCTATATTTTGGAAAACCCAAAATATAATGTCGTTATCTAGGCGCTATATTAGAGCTTCGAGCAGCGCAGTGTTTGCCACATTTGGGCTTGACTATGTGCAGTGTAACCTGGACTACCACAACCTGGGTTTAGGGTTTAGGGTTCAGGGAATAGCAGAACCTACTCTTTAGGTTCTTATTGTAAACCCGAGTATGGGAGTTAAGGGACCCAGACAAAAAAGTAGGTCTGGGCAGGGCCAGAGGGAAGTTGGAGGCCAGCAGCCAGTAATGATTCTGTCAACAGCAGGTAGATGTGTGTTTAAAATAGAGG